ATAAGGAGATAGAAAATAAAATTACAAATCCAGCGAAAAAAAAAAAAAAATTAGTAATTTGTGACTACTAAGCAGCATGCCCTTATGTTTTGGGGTTTTTTGTTTCATTTTGTTTTTTCTCACTCAGTGCAGGAATTTACAATAGTCCTGTAGGTTTGAATACTGCATATAAACATGCTGGGTTTGCCACAGCTTAGTGAAATTTGTACTGTGTGACAAACTATGTTTCAGCAAGATGGTGTCCTGACCTGTTGAGAACCTAGTGGTGGGGAAATTGCTGAGAATCCTATCTGCTTAATACTGCTGCTTCTCAGCCAAGCAATGTTCATGGAAGTTCAACAGACATTCAACAAACCAGACATCCTTATGGGTTGCAAGGTTACTAGATGTGCTTTGGATGCCATGTGTTCAGAGCATGCTGATACCACATTTAGTTCTTGGCCAAAACAGCAAAAGTCAGTGTGGAAATTTCAGCTTCCTATTAAAAAAAAAAAACCAACCAAACAAAACAAACAAAAAATAGAAAGCAGAACAACCAAAAACTAACAAAACCCCAAAAGCTCTAATTTCAAATCTTTGTTAAATTATGTTGGCTCTACGATGTTTTTATCAAATTATGGCTGACAAATGCCACTGCTCTGGACTGAGGAGGAGTGGCTGACACACCAGAAGGCTGTTGCAATTCATCGAGACCTGGACAGGCTGGAGATTTGGGTGGGGAGAAACTTGATGAAATTCCACAAGGGCAAGTGTAGAGTCTTGCATGTGGGGAAGAGCAACCCCATGTACCAGTACAGGCTGGGGGTTGACCTGCTGGAAAGTAGCGAAGGGGAAAGGGACCTGGGGGTCCTGGTGGATAGGAGGATGAACATGAGCCAGCAATGTGCCCTTGTGGCCAAGAAGGCAAATGGCATCCTAGGGTGTATTAGAAAGGGTGTAGTTAGGAGGTCAAGAGAGGTTCTCCTCCCCCTCTATTCTGCCTTGGTTAGGCCGCATCTGGAATATTGCGTCCAGTTCTGGGCCCCTCAGTTCAAGAAGGACAGGGAATTGCTTGAAAGAGTCCAGCGCAGAGCCACGAAGATGATTAAGGGAGTGGAACACCTCCCTTATGAGGAGAGGCTGAGGGAGCTGGGTCTCTTTAGCTTGGAGGAGAGGAGACTGGGGGGTGACCTCATCAGTGTTTACAAATATGTAAAGGGTGAGTGTCAGGATGATGGAGCTAGTTTTTTTTCAGTGATGTCCAGTGATAGGACAAGGGGCAATGGGTGTAAACTGAAGCATAGGAGGTTCCATGTGAACATTAGGAAAAACTTCTTTACTGTAAGTGACAGAGCACTGGAACAGGTTGCTCAGGGGGGTTGTGGAGTCTCCTACATTGGAGATATTCAAGGCCAACCTGGACAAGTTCCTGTGTGTTGTACTCTAGGTTACCCTGCTCTTGCAGGGGGGTTGGACTAGATGATCTTTTGAGGTCACTTCCAACCCTTGGGATTCTGTGATTCTGTGATGTTTTTATTTTATTTATACTGAAACTAAATTTATTCTAGTTCCTGAACAGGAAAGATACAAAGGCAGCGCAACAGCCTACATATCTGTTTGATAGCACCACTTCAGAGAACAGCCCCAGAAATGGGAACTTGGGAGCAAAATCACTACTGACAGTTCTGCAGGAATGTGGACTTTGAACTGGGTTTTGCAGCTGGAGGTATCTGAGACCTTCTTCTGGGTAAGAAAATCTTCTGCAAGCAAAATTGCTCAAGACATCTCTTCCTTGGCATTACATTTTATGCTGTTAATTTTGCAGAGCTATCCATGACAATATCCCACAGAGTTCTTGCTACTTTTCACATACACATAATGATACCATAACCAGCTGGACAGCACAAGCTTGACTGAGTTTATTCTAACCACTAACTTTCACTAGCAACTAGGAAGACAAATAGCGAGCAATTTACTGAAAAGTTTAAAGATATGTCCCTTCACCCGATGTTTTATTGTTTGTTTTAAATCCCACATCCCATTTTTAAACAAAAATGGGTGTGTTTGAGCTGGCCAATTTTTTTTCCAGGGGTAATTCAGAGCCTCAAATAGCCTTCTCTCTCTTAGGTTATTAATAAAAAAATGAATCAAATTGACTGAATAAAGGGCGAAAACCTTACAGTCAGATCTTTCAGTGCCTGCAATTGTTCTGACTTTTTTCATTGTTAATTAGTACTGTAACATGGCCAATATCTGTCTAAGGCCATGCAAAGAGCAAAGGGCTTGCTCCCAGAATGTCATATGCAATGCATGTAAATAGGGGTGGTAAGACTGAGGTAAGCAATCATTAGGATTGTGCAAGACAGAGATAAGCAAGTAAACAACCTCTTCCCAAAACAAAGCACAAAATTACAGCTTTCATTAGGAAAATAGAAGGTTTTTTGGTTTTGTTTTTCTTCTTTTTCTTGGTAAAAATCCATCAGGTTTCCATCCTTGTTCCTCTCTACCATGTTCTGTTGTGCTGGGAAGCCAGTGGTGTGATGTTTTACTGTGCTTTGATCAAGTAAAGGCATTGGTAAGTAAAGAACTTTTGCTTTGATAAGTATTTAACCATACTGAGGCCATGCAACTCTTGCAGGTGCAGACATGCTGGTTGGAAAGGACTTCTGTAAGATGCCTTACTGGAGCACAGCAAGCTGATGAGGACTGTAGCAGGGTATAATCTATCAGTTCCACAGCATTCTGTGCCTGATTATTTTCTGTATAAACGTAATACCTGCTTTTGAGAAGCACTTTCACTAGTACTTGACTTCAGTTGAGCTGTCCTGTGCTATCAGACTCTCAGGTTTCAGTCTAATGGCTCAAAGCTGTCACCTCCAAAATGAGGAACAAGGGCTCCCTGCTCTTCCTTCCAGGATCACTTCACTGATGTGACCTGAACTGGGTGAATTATGTCTTAAAGCACATTTTATGGAGGAATAAAAGAATTGCCTAAGATTTATCTCATTAAAAAGGACTTCCAGAACTAGCTACCTCCCAACTATACAAGTTTCATGGCATCTTTCAAGGCCTAATTCTGATCTCTGCTGATAAATTTTCCAACTGTTGTAAGCCTTGGGACCTGAGGACTGTCATTAAGTTCCACACTTGGCATGATTCTCAGTATTTGATTGTCCATCAAATGTTGACTGCAAAACCTGTCTGTGAAAACATACTTTTTCTATTTCAGATCCCTAAGGTTTATTCCACTTTTGTGAGAAATTTGTAGCATTTTGATTTTTATCTAAACCATTGTTGGTGCAAATTATCGTTTCTCTCTTTGGGAAATTATTTTATTGTTAGGAAACTCTGCCACCAGTTTGCCAAAGGTAAACAGGCACTTCAGCTCTCATAGAATTTTGGGGTGGTAGGCTTAGATAACTTTGGAAGTCAATACATCTTAGCTCCTGACAGGCAGACCAGCAAAGGTGTGTGTGAGGTTGAATCTCTGTAGGGAGTGGACTTCTCTGAGAGCTTAACATTCAGTTTCCAAGATTTCTTTTATTGTGCCATTCTTCTAAGCTTTGCCTTACTGAATTCATGGGAGACAGCTTTAATGTCCCTGGCAGTGGGTAATTAACATAGTATGAAAATTGAAGAAATCCTTAGAGGGCTATTAAGAACTGGCTTGAGTCCATGAAGCTGGATCAGAAATATATGCCAGGATTCAAGTTTTGCTTTACTAGTTAGCTGAATACCTTTCCTTATTTTATTTTGGTGTATGTCATTGCCGCACTCTTCGATGTGATCCTAAAGGAGGAAGCACAAAGTAGTGTAGAGAGAAGTGGTGCTTCTTAAATCGCCTTTTACCCTAATGATAATGTTCTCACAGTAATATGCTAGTGATTATATTTTATATTGTACTTTATCAGATGAAGCATAACATGAAGCTGCTCTCTGTGGGTAATCTTTTCTGAAGCTTAAAATAAAGAAAAATAATTGAGATAAGTAGCAAAATTCGTGCTGTTTATTTTCTCTCCTTATCTCAATCTGTCAACCAAATAGTGCTTTTTTTTCGTTTTGACTGGTAGAACTGGTAGAAAATAAGGCAGATTGACTTCAGTACGTAACTTATTAACCTTGAAATTTTGCCAGCTCACATATGTGGTCATTTCGTTTTGGTTTTTTTTGAGTTAAACACAGAATACATGGAAAATGATTACCTCATATTTGACCCTCATATTATAATAAAGAACAATTACTGTGGTGCAAATTGTCAGAATGTCATGTAGAGCTTTACCTTTTGATATAACTGCCTGTTACTGTTGTTCTGCTCAAAGAGGGCAGCAAAATATTGCAAATCTAGGATCCAAGAGGACTTTGGCTCTGAAGCATAATACTGAAGAAGTATGTATCTTACAAATATAAAAGATCTGAAAGGAGAAATTAGGAGGCAAGCAGGTCGTTACTATTTAAATGCACCTAAGATTTTTATTCTTTAAGCTATGTGTGTTTGCTTGTAGTGGAGATGCTATCAACAGAAACAGCTTAATCACTCTAAGTTTAGACATACAGCAATCCTCATAGCCGTGTAAAGAAGAGTCCCAGCAGAAACACAATAGCTGTAGAGTTCAGGATTCATCCCAAACTGGAATACTGTATGACCCATTTGGCATGAATTCTTTAAATTTAGGCATACAGTGAACAAAACATTGAAATGGATTTGCAGCACAGTGAGATTGATGGGTGTGTTATATTGGGTATTTTCATTGCATCTTGAGATTTTCAGATTCTTATCAGCTTGGTTGCTTCTTTTCTGGTTTCCATGCATAAAGATTACAACCAGAGGGTAGATGAAATGGTTCATACACTATATCTTGGTTTTGGTCTTTTCCTGAAGATGTGAGTCTATTTCCTACGCAATGTAGGCACCTCTTTCCTAAGCAACCCTTTAAAATTATATAAACAGATACATTTATTAAACTACTCTTCTTGATTTGTCACAGAGATGTGAACTTAGCAATTACTCTTCTGCCTTTCAGAGACTTGGTATTTTGGCTTTCACTGATGATGGTAACATTTTCAGTTAACACAGGTAAACCTGCAGTGCTCTTGCAGTCAATGGCTTACCAGGCAGAGATGGAAGAGGTGGTCCCAAAGCTGACAAAGGAGAACCAGGTACAGAGCTATGACCACTTAGTGACATTGTATTTTCAACACTCATCATCCCTTTAGTCTTGTTTCATGCCTCCTTCATTCTTTCATTTTGTCTTTCTTCTTCTCTCCTTTTCTTCTGCACCATTAGCCTTTTGCAGGCTCTGCACAATTTCAGGGAGCTGAAAATGCTTTCTCCATTTATAATGCTACTCCAGATACTTGGATTTTAATAAAAAAATAAATAAAAAGATATGTAATGATATTTTAACCCAATTGTACCATTTAGACTCTAAATCACATACAGAGTTTCCTACAATACCCTGCTAAATGATTATTGCTTTTCCTTTCCAGGGGTCAACTCTCAAAACCAGAAATTGTGCTTGCAAGAGTTGTCTACTAATCTGACGGTCATAACTTGGTTGCTTCATACTCACCAGGTCCCAGTAACAGAATTCCCCCAAGGCATGATTTGTTATTTAGGTAACATTTTTCTTGCACTACTGCAAACAGCAAATAGATCAGCAAATTATTTCTGTCATGTGGTAGAACCAAAGTCACCTGCTCTCCCAAGTTCCCAGGTAAGTTTCTGTCCAAATAAGTATGTATGGAACTGTATACTTTGTTACTGTATGCTGTCTGGGGTGTTATGTAGATACCATCACACATCTTGAAATTAGATAACTGCTTTGCAACCTCCAAGCAAACTCCCATTGTTATCTATGCCTCCTAATATTAACTATGACATAAAATTTTTCAGTGGCATATATTAATATTCTGTATAGACATTTTCTGGTCCACATACCCTCAGTATGTCCTCTGCATTTTCACAGCTGAAATAAATAAAGCCAGCAGTATCTGTTCCAGCAAACTGCTTCAGAGGTATCCTTATGATTTAGCTCATTTTCTAGCCCATATACTGTGATGTGTGACTGGATTACAGCTGCAGTATATTGTGTTTCTTGTTTTAGAGCACATGTACTTCTGAAATAACATGAGACAGCATTTATTTCATTGGATTTTCAGTGTCATAAGTTGATATAGTAAAGAATTTTTCACCAAAGTAATGCATTTCCTAGTAACTGCAGCTTTCCATAGAAACAATACAATTTTCATGAGATATTTTTATTTTCCTGGGGGCGGGAAAGAGTCAGTGTTTGGTACTCTCTCTAAATACTAAGAAAACATAGTGGGAGAAAAACCTATAAAACACTTTAAAAATTTTATTTTAATTGAACTTTAGGAGAAGAATTGAGAGGTCTACAGGGTTTCCAGGAATAAAAGGCAATTTAGGACCTCAAGGAGAGAAAGTGGAAGAAGGAGTTCATAAAAGAAATAAATTTCTCATGTTTCTATAATCTGGCTTTCAACCTTTCAGTTTATCTTTCAAACAAAAATATATGTGTTAATGTCCAGTATTCTTGTAACATCATTTGAGGAAAAGTGTGATTTCCAGAAGTGTGAGGAGCAGAAAAATAACCCATCTGTTACATAGGGGGTGAATTGACCAACATAACTGGGGGGAAAAAGCTTCTGGAATGAGTCACTAGTTTATTGCTGTCTGTGAGTGAAATAACAAACACCCTATTTCATGTTATAAACAGTATTTTTTTCTTCCATTCTTTGCCTGTTCATGTGGTTTTTACTTCAAGTTCGATTAATTAAAAAATGTTTACTGTGTGTTTTGCCTTTGAGAACTGGGATTTTACCCTTGAACAGAAGATGACTTTGGCAGAATTTAAAGCCCACCTAATCTTCCTGGTCAGGAAGTCTTTCCAAGTGAGAAAAATTCCCATGGAACCAGTCTGCAATGTGGCCTGTGGTTTCTGCTCTGGAAACCAAATAGCTATCTCACATGACACCAGGTCACAAGACAGCTAAGCATCTCAGAGACAGTTGTTGTGTAGTATATATTATTAAATAACTTGTAGTAACCAATGACCTGCAGAGACAAGCAGGAGCAGCTACTGTTCTCTGGGTGCTCATGCTTTAAGCATTGCATTACATTTCTCTTACTGCCTCGGTTCTAGATCCTTTTCTATGAGTAGACATGGATTGGGATGCTATCTGCCTGAGCCTGGCTGCAAGTACTTTCTCAAGAGATACTGTATGAAAAATTTCAAAGAATAGCCCATCAGTGCACTACTACCCTGGTACAAATGCTGGATTAGGAAAAGCACAAGGTCCATCAATGCTCTTAAATTAACAGAAGAAAATTACACAGGCTGCAATTTACCACATCATGAGCATCAGTAGAACGGCTCATATCATCGTATAGCTCCACACCTTCCAAGGGGTGTCTTCCCTGCAGAAAGCACAACTTTGAAGTCATAGTTGTGTGTAAAGCTTGAAAGCTAACCTGAAATTGGGGCAAGAATCTGAAGAGCACAGAGAGGCTGAAGAGCTGGTAGCAGTAATCTCTTCAGCCATCTCCCTTTTGTCAGTGCTTATGTATCAGTACCCTAGAAAAGGCTGTCTGAAACTATTGTGAAGGTTTTACCTGGCACAGAATCATGGTGGGAGTTCGCCACCCACAAGAGCATTGTGCTGGTACTATTCCCAAAACACCAGAGGAAAATTTAACTATGCATATGTCCCAGTGTTCATATCATTGTTATAGACTGGTGGACTGCCTTAACATTAATCCCAGAAACCTGGTAAAGACAATAAGATAAAGTAACTTGCCCATTAAAGACAGTAACTGTTTCAAAAGAATTGCTGCTAGCAGTTTTATCTGCTAAATGAACAAGAGCTTCACTTTCCAGTATTTGTCATGAAAGCCTGTCAAGCATTTAAGGTTGAGTTTCCCACTTCTCCTAAGATAATTTATACTTTCTGGAGGCTCAGTTTCCTAGCCTCTTTAGAGCTGTACCTGTATCTCCTCTTCCTGCTCTGCTGTTTTAGGCCCTGAATTCTGTTACAGCTCCTCAGCTTTGGTTTCTGTGCTAAGGCTGATGGGTACAGAAGATCTGCAGCTCAGTTGCCTTGTATGTTTTTAATTGATCTGGCAAGCTATTTTGTCATGCTTGCAGTTTGAGTGGTAATTGCTACACATCCTGATTCAAGAGCTACAGTACTATTTGAACTGGAAATGGAAAACCTTAGAATGAGACTGGTGATCCAGTTTCTTGTGAAATCCCAGTTTTCTTGAAGCATAGGTGTGGTATTTCCGGGTGTCTATTTTGTTTGACTTCTGTTGGATTCTCCCTACTACTTCAAGAAATAGTCCGTTTATAGCTGGTATTAGCTACTTCTGAACTACAATTGTGATAAGGATAAATAGCTATAACATTATCAGTTTTTTGTATAATACAACTATGTTCACTTTTGTTTCTAGGTTTGATTTTAAAGAATATCAAGAGTATTGATAAAAGAAAATTGTCTCAACTGGAAAATAAGATATTTTTGTAAATTGAAAATCTTGTACAAAAGCTGGAAATACACTTGCCTTTCCTAGGAGCAAGGCTGAAAACATAGCCTTAAAACAGCACCTTGGAAGCAGGGTTATATGCTCTGATGAACAGACTGAAGACAGGTTTCTGTATCTGAATGGAGGAGCTGTAGCTTACAGAAACTGGAATGCTGAAGAACCAAATAGTCTTAAAAATGAAGACTGCAATAATACGAGACTCTAGAAAATGGAATAACATTAATTGTTCAAATTCACATGCCTTAATTATTTGTGAATTCTTGAGCTTATGGATCTGAGAAAACCCAAAGTTTTTGCTCTCAGTTATGTGGCTGACAGAAGTTTGTTCCTATAAAAGTGGCCTGGACTAAACAGAATTGGCATATATTTATAATTGCTTTCTCTTTGACATTCAGTTTTGAATCTTCTAATAAAAAACAGATTTAATTTTTTTCAACCATTATTAATTATATTTTATCTTACTGGTAGTAAGGCTAATAGCATGGTCAGCAGGGTGCTTGTACCTTCCTATGAGTTCGTCATAAATGCAGCATGGGGGAAGCAGCTTTTAATAATCTTGAAACTAACGAAAATCTTTAATACATTCTGCCTTTGAGCTGAGCTGTAAACTTGGAGAGATTATTCACCCCATGTTGCTTCTGATATGTTCTCTTACCACGTAAAAAGTGGACAGTGAATACACTTATTTCAGTATTTAGTCCTGGCTTTGCTCCTACTCCACCTTTACTGTAGTTCTAAAAATTACTGATAATGATCATTTGGAGTGTAGAGTGATATTTGTCATCTGGGTACAGAGGTGCATTGTACACAAGTGATTACTGACATCCAAATAATTTATTTTTTGAAGTTTTTTGTGCTGTTTTTTCCACATGATAGGAAAATTAAACATGCTGTAACTACACAGAATAATAAGACAGTAGAACACCCAGGCAGGTTTCTTTGTGTGCAATAGAACAATCACAAGAGAACAAGATGTGTTCTGGCAAGCTATAGCAGTAATTTAAATTACAGAAGATATAGATCAAGATTTAAATGAAGAAGAAAGCAGAATTTTTTTTGTCTGAAATTAAACACATGAGCCTACTGGTGAAATGCACTCCAAGTGGAATTTGGCTCATACAGAAAAAAAGCAAACCCCTTATTTATGTGAATAGGTCCTTAATGTGAAAGAAGTTATACCATAGGTTTTTATTATTTTCTTGATGGAAGCTTCTTGCACCTCAAGTGAAATACAAAAAGGTGATTAGCTAGGAATAGGTAAATACCCCAACAACAAAGTTGCTCATTTACCAATACTGAAATTTTGACAATTAATAAAAATGTTTACACACAGGCTTTAGGTTTTCAACCATGCAAGAACAGAAGATTTTTAATTCCTCCTTCAGTGATTTTAAGACATGTAAGCTAAATACCTCTATGGAAAGAAGGACCGTGTCTATACTGGCAAGTTATGTGCACCCATGAGAACATAGCAATGTATCTGTATAGAGGAGCAATGAGCTTGCTGCCAAGCTCATCTGGTTTATAACTGTTATTTTCATATTGAATACTTATCTTTGTAAGTAATGACGTTTCTTTTCTCTGCACCAGCTTATACAGGTATATCAAAAAAGCAATTATTCAAATTGGTGAAGGGTGTGATTTTTCTAGAGTATGATTTATCTGCTGTTCTGCACTGTGTTCTCTTGTCATTACTGGCAATGTATCTTTGCAGTTCTCAAGTGAACTACATTCCTTTTAATTGATGCCCTGCAACCATGAAAACTGAAACATCTTAAATTTTGCTTGGGAGTTTTTAATCAATATTTATTACGTGAAAATGCAGGATATGGTGTAATATCTAAAAGACAGATTTGGGTTAGTTTAGGACAAGAAAGAGATATTCTTGAGAGTAGGTACAGCCCTGTTGTGCTTCCAGGTTTAGGGATCAGTGGTAATTCAGGATCCAATGCATTTATTTGGAATGATTATGTAATTGTACTTTGAGATGGTATCCAAAAAACACTGTGACATACTTTGTGTGGAGCTGGACTAAAAGCAATGATGTATTATGACCCCAGTGGGCCAGCCAAAAGTTTACAATGACTAAATTGCTGATTTAAAAAACACTTGGAGAATTATTTTGCAGATGTGAAAGGTTGCATTAACTGATGAGTTTTTTTTAGAAATGCTATTCCTAAATGCCATATCCATCACTCTCTAGAGATTCTAGCTCTGAAATGTAATTTAGACTAGTTTTTATATGATTTTGCCCAGAAAATCTCCAGTACAGTTAGAAATTTATGAAGCTTCTTGTAACCTTATGTTAAGACTGTGTTCAGAAGGATTTACATCATTCAAATGGGATCTATACAAACTGCAAAACTATTTGCAGGTAAGTGTGTAAATAAGATTATGTTAAATCATTGGGAGTTCACAAAAGCAGAATGGGAGAACATTTGTATTGTGTGCTCAGTTTCATACAGTCTAAAGCTATCAGGCTGCATACATGAAAGGTATATTTTCCCCAGCAAGGATGGTGTATATAACAAATCCAAACCTCATTTCTTGAATCTGCCTGGTCAGTTCATCTTTTGGGTCCTTAAGCTCACAGGCTTCAGTCTGGTACCAGTTCTTCTGTACCCAGCATTCCCCATCTTATTAGTTTACCCTGGTGTAAACTATCTCAAGGTTTACATCTTGCAGGTTCCCCAAGATGCTAGCCTTCTTTCTAGAAACTGTGCTCTGTTACACTGATGAAAATTACACTGATGAAAATCCGTCTGTGGTGGAGTTGCCCTGGAAATGCAGCTGTGTAAGCAAAAGTATAGCTCTATTAATCTGGTCTTAAACAGTAAAGTGTCCTGAACTGTTGCTCAGAGGAGCAGAATAGCAGTGCTGATATCTGTGAGATTTGGCAGGCCATTGCATGGGAGCAGGATGATATGATGACTGGGCAAAAGTCCACAGGACAGGAACAAGGCATGGAAATAGAGAATGAGCTTTTAATAAGTTATATCACTTGAAACTGTAAAACTCAGGAAACCACTAAGTTCTGACCTTTCTCACCATGTATGTTATGGGTACCTTTCCTTAGGGACACCTTTATTTGGTAGGTGGTGAAAAGAGAGAAAGAGTTTAAAACTGTGGCCTGTTATTTTTCAAGAAGCTTAAATCAGCATCCCTGATGACCACTTAATTTTGTATTAATTAGAAGCTAATCTGTATTTGCTGCTATATGCCTGATTAAAACCACCTCATTTGGTGCTAATATGACCTCTGCAGAGCTTCTGAGTAACTCAGGATGAGAGCAACATTTGTTAATCAGCTCCTGGGTTTATCTTTCTAAAACACAATTTCAGGAAGAGTTATCCTGACACACATGGAAAAAAAAAAAAAAAAAGAAACCACAAAAAAAACCCAATCTCTAAAAAAGCTCTTTTCCTTCTCATTGTATCACAAGTGGCAATTTTCAGTGGGATCTGCAAGGTGGAAATAGGAAGCTATTTCAGTCAGTAGCAAGTTATACTTACTGCTTTATTTTTTAATTTCAACACATAAATATGGGAAAAGGGATGGTTAGCTTATGCTCAGAGCGGATAAGAACTCTGCCCTTACCTCTGGTTTGTTTCCATTGTGAGGGCATCACCCTCTTGTGTGAAATATGCAGAGAACCATGCCAAGTGCAAGGTCCTACACCTGGGTCGGAGCAATCTCAGGCACAGCTACAGGTTGGGCAGAGATTCAGAGCAGCCCTGCGGAGAAGGACTTGGGGGTGCTGGTCGATGAGAAAATGAACATGAGCTGGCAGTGTGTGCTCACAGCCCAGAAAGTCAACCATAGCCTGGGCTGCATCAAGAGGAGTGTGACCAGCAGGTCGAAGGAGCTGATCCTGCTCCTCTACTCTGCTCTCGTGAGACCTCACTTTGAGTATTGTGTGCAGTTCTGGTGTGCTCAACATAAAAAGGACATGGAACTGTTGGAACAAGTCCAGAGGAGGGCCACAAGGATGATAAGGGGACTGGAGCACCTCCTTTATGAAGACAGGCTGAGAAAGTTGGGGCTGTTCAACCTGGAGAAGAGAAGGCTGTGTGGAGACCTCATAGCAGCCTTCCAGTATCTGAAGGGGGGCTATAGGGATGCTGGGGATGGACTCTTCCTTAGGGACTGTAGTGATAGGACAAGGGGTAATGGGTTCAAACAGGGGAAGTTTAGATTGATATAAGGAAGAATTTCTTTACTGTGAGAATGGTGAGGCACTGGAATGGGTTGCCGAGGGAGGTTGTGAATGTTCCATCCCTGGCAGTGTTCAACACCAGGTGGACAGAGGCTTGGGTGAGATGGTTTAGTGTGAGGTGTCCCTGCCCATGGCAGGGGGGTTAGAACTAGATGATCTTAAGGTCCTTTCCAACCCTAACTATTCTATGATTCTATGAACTGTTACACAGGGAAGTCTGTGCCTTTAGCACTACCAAAGTGGCTCTACCTTTTGGCCTATAGCCTGGAGACATGAGGAAAGAAATATTGTTTCTGGATTGCAGTTTGACCAAAAATGCCCAGGAAAAGAAATAATGCAGAAGAGCCTGGAAACCTAGGTACAGTCAAATAATCTCTCTTTTTTTAAGCTCTCTGCCAAACCTCTCAGCATTAGCAGCATGACTGGATCCTCTGTGTTATCTCTAGGGAATGAGTTTATCCTGAGGCACCTACACTTAACATCTCTTTTTATGGTCTGTGAACCTACTGACGTTTTAGGCACCAGTAGCTTGAGCTGTTTAGATCAGTCTTTCAGAGTAGTCAGTTGTGAGGGCTTTTTCCTGGCTGTGTGCTCTGGTTTATGTCTTCAACTAGCAGCACAGTTTGTCCCATGGGAGCTGAGCTTGTGCATTAATCCTGCAAGAAGCTTATGGCAGCTTTGCAGTGGGAGGAAGACTCTGTGGTGTTGCACTGGTTAGCATCCTCTTCCAGAGTGTTTAAATACAGGTAGAACTTCAAGGAGCTGGACTAAATATATGTAATATGAAAGCAGTAGTTAATCCATATTTAGGTGTTTGATTTCAGAGAGACCAAGTGTGCTAACATTGCGATTCATGGAAATGAGCCTGCATCAGCTCAGCAGTGCAGCAGTCTGAATTTCGGAGCTTCCTTGCAGCCTTAACAGAAAATATTACTACAGAGCCACAAAAAATGCAGGAGTATGTACATCGTCTCACAACTTTCAAAGCTGCCCCAAAGCTGCCCTCTGTTCCTGTGTTGCTTTGCCTTTGTTTGGTCTCTTATTTACCCTCAGTTGGATACTCACAGCAACTGTATCATTATGAGTACCAGTTGTTTACATCCCTAACTGTCCTACTCCATCTACATAGCTTGTACATGAACACATTTCAGAGATGCACCGAAGGCAGTGGGAAGGGGAAGGAAGGATTAAACCATCTGTTCATGTTGCCATGTTGCAGCTTTCCTTCTCAGGCCTTCTGTGCTCTCCTGGGAGAGCTCTGGACAGCATCTCTTCTTTCTGCCATCTGTACTGTTGGGCTACAACTCTTGGCCACCTTTGTCCTGTTCTTGAGATACATACAGAACAAGGCTCTGGTGCTCCCTCACTGCCCCACTCATTATTCCTAAGCATGTTTTTGAATCAAAATTCAGTTTTGATACAAGGGCAGCTAAACTACCGCAAGCTGCTTTAGCTGAGCATACTACTTCACCAAATTTAGTTGGGAATCCTGAAATGTCTTAAGCAATTTCATAATGAATACATTCATTACTGTCTTGGTTACCTCTCACCTATCACTTTATGCATTCAAAACACCTGTGCAAGAATGTCATATGCAGAATTGGCTTGATCAATGCTACTTTGCTTACAGATCACAACCTTTTAAGTCCTCTATTTCTTTATGCCCTTTCCACCCTGCTTAAGCAGCTACACACATTCAAAGAAGCAAGATAAAGAGGGTAATGACAGAAAAAGAGAAAGGCAGGAAGAAGTGATTTTTTTTTTTAATCTTTTTACCTTTTCCCTTTTATTATAGAGAGCTACAGCTAAACTTGAAAAAAGGGGGGTATTAACAGTACTTCCTAAGCCTGCTAAGTAGATGCTTTATTTGTGCATCAAAACTAGTAGAACAAATATTACCCTGAAGCCTCAGATTGCCCTCTATGTGCTGTTATTTTCTAGTACCTGGTAGTTAGCTTAAAGCTGCAATTGCAAGCATCTGGAGAATCTCAGCTTTCATTTTCAAGACTAAAATGAAATTGTAGCTTTCATAAAGAGTGGCGAAAAAAGGTTAAAAGCCTTTCAATTGGAAAGTTCTACAATGAAAGGGAAAATGTTTGTTTCCTTTTAATCTCATGTTTTAAAGTCTATCTTAAAGCAGAAATAGTTAAAGTATTTTTAAGAAACGAGAATTAAGTGTTGTGAGCAATATGACAGAGCTCTACGGCAAGAAAAGTTGCAAGCTCATCACACAATAGCAGTTGTACAAGCTCTTCATGAAATGTTTCAGATGTTGTCTGCAACACTTAGGTCTATTATAAATCGCTTCACTGAAAATTGTATACCACACTATGTCTTAAGTTACTGGGAGGTCTCAAGTGGCTTTGAATGCTGCAGTTCTGAAGTTTATCTTCATCAGATGCTCTCAGAATAGTTCAGAATCTGGCCTTTATTCTGGCAAATGGTTTTATTTGTTGGAAAGTGACACTGTATGCTCCTTGAGAAAGGTAAAAGAAATGAAAGATAGGAGTTATTAAACAGTTGAAATGGACATGTGTGGAATCATAGCTGGGAAAATAGATGCTAGAGAAATGGACTGTAGGTTCTGCATGGTGACACTGGTACTGAAATAGTCAGGAGCACAGCTATTCTCTCCAAGCTTTGAAAACTAAATTTTAGAAGTTAATACTTAAAAATCCACTTCAGCTTTAAAGGACTGTCCAAGAAAATGGTGAAAATGGACTGACCTTGTGAAAGAGGCACTCTCTATACCCAGCAGGCTGGGCTCTCCACAGGCCTGAATACACATCCAAAAAGGAACAGTGAGGAAAAACCTTTGCTACACTTATTTTCTAGCTTTAACCCCTGGGGAGCCGGGTAAGACATACAAGCAGTAAGACTGCTTTAAAACTAAGCATATTTGAAGTGCTCTTCTGTAGATTCCCACTCATGACAAACAAGTATATTCCTGCCTGTCAGCTGCTGATGTTTGCAGGTGTGTCTGTTGCAGTCCATTCCCTCACAAACTAGACCCTGTAAGATGCCCCAGTCTGCTTTTATAGAGGGAATGCTACAACCTGCTTCCCTCTCATGGACATGGACAACAGCGTTCAGAGGACAGGCAAATATATGATTGGTGATAGACATCAGAAACCACCCTGGGTTTCAGGAGATGGGGGAAAAAAAGGTGTTATGTTTTAGACTCAAAGTTGTATACTCATACCTGATTATGTATTGTTCCCTGAATCATTCTGTTACGTACAAAAATATTCTTTACTGGTTAAGAGGTAAAAAAATATTCAGGAACTTGCCACTATTTTGTTCTGTTCCATGTGGATATCTTACTGAAATCTTCAAATAAACAGACAATGAAAAAATATTATTGGATGTCCAACGCTTTTTAAAATGTCATAGATTCTGCTGCTTGAATTTCCATTACATTGTAGCAATCTGAATGAATAAATATAGCGAATTGTGCTGATCTTTCCAGTTCTGAATATTAGCTTTCACATTTTTAATAAGAACAAAAGTCTCCATACAGCTGAGACCTTAATAGTAACAAGCTTCAATACAAGTATCATCTTAGCAATAATACTCTAAGAATATAAACATATCAAATGTTTGCAAGCAGAGTTCGTACATTTTGTTATGCCATCAGACATAGGCCTTAAGCTTCTATTTTGGATGTGAAGCATTTCTGTGATTAAAACTCACCATTTTTACTGTATCAAGATGGTGAAAACATGAGCCCTCATTCTTTAGGGAACATCTCAAAATACATCCTGAAGCAATGCAACAAGTGCTGCAAATAATGCCAGTTTGGTATTAAATAAGCCATGCTTCTATTGAGAGAATTCTCATTTTAACCTCTTTCCTTATCCAGTTGCTAATTATGAGCAAACTTTTCCTTCAATTGCATCCCCTGTTTTATCTCTATTAGTAAATGAGTAGTTTTGATGAAATCTCACTTTATAGGAAAATACAAATGATTTCAACAAACTGTGGGTTGGTCTTTTTTAAGATTTGGCTTGCAAAGTCTTTCAGAGAACTTATCAAGGAAATTGGCTTGTAATTAAGGAGAAAAACCACAAGCATCGTTTAAAACATTAATAACCTTTTAGTCTAAGATTTTTGTAAAATTAATATTAAACAAAATTGTTGCAGAAAACTACAAATATAGCTCTACTCAGTATTTGGGCTCCAGAATATTCTGTTCTGGAAGTCCATCTACAGTCAGGGTGAAAGGAAAAGGGTTTTAAAAATACATGGATATAGCTGAACTTTTATTTCTCTTCTTCCCTTACAGGAATCTTCCAAAAATATCCCTCCACTGAAGCCTCTACAATAACTGCACCTTATATAGTTTCAAGTCAGCTTGGGTAAGGTAAGGAGATTAATCTGCTTTCTTGGGCACTTCAGTCTGTGTTCTTTCCTTGGCATCTTGGTGCTCTAGTTGTCCTGCCAGCAATCCCAGCATGGCTAGTCTGAAGCTGCCAGGAATTTACAGGCAGAAGTTCCAGTTTTGTCATGTGGGGCAGCATGCCTTTGTCACAATATCCTGCTGCTTGTAGGCAAAGTGTGATGAAGCCACTGAGCACAGCAAGGGCTGTGGCCCCAAAGCAGGCTTGCTGCTGCTGCCCGACCCCTCTGACCCTGGGTAGCAAGATCCACTCCTGCAGAGGTGAAGCACAAAACTGCTGTGTTGAATTGCAGGAGCTGGATAAACACATGGCTGTGCTTCACCAGCCCAATCAGGTGCCCAGAACCTCTGCTTTTCATGGAAACTGAAATAATGAAGTGCCTTAATAATGCCTTAAGATGAAGTGCATCTATCTGCTATGAAAGAGATACAAAGTGTTCCTCTATGCTTTTGAACTAATTAGCATCTAAAAATGCGCCATTACAAAAGAAACAGATTCAATATATTATGTACTACATGCTTCAAACTACACAATCAGCTAAAACATACAGAATTTTCTGTTCAATAACCTGAAAAGGTCTGTGCAAAATTAAATTCTGTAATACCTATCATCTTAGTTTTTAGCTCACAGCAGCAATAACCACCATGATATGTGGTGTTTCCTGGGAATTTATTACCGTTTGGGGTCCTTCCAGTAAGATGCAAAGCAGCTTCACTTCACTGTGACCATCAGACCATAACAGCAGCTTGATGAGTTTATTATTTTCATTTGTAACTCTGTATTTCCTGCCATGTGTTTTCAATAACAAGTTTTTTCCCCAAGTACTTTGAATTTCAATTGCAATGACAATGCTTTTGGATGCATATTTTTGAAGACCTATCAGCAAGACATTAGGTGGGCCATTTCCCAGCAATAACAATGTAGTAACAGCGGGATTGTTATGCTATCTGCAGGCTAG